CTGCACCTCGCCTCCCAGTGCTAGCAGCAGCCCACGAGCATCTGCTCTAGCAGCGCTGCCGCCAGCATGCGAGTGCCTGAATGAGGCTGCCTGGCTAGAGCTCTTTCCTTTATGGAAAAAGAGCTGGCCAGGTCTCGCAGGCTGGCTGGGCTGGGCTGGGCCCAGCAGCTTCCGGAAGGCCCCAGGATGATGTCTGGATGCAGCAGCTACTGGGCTGCTGGGCCTCGTTCGGTTGGGCGCCCAACTGTCTCTGTATGAGGCTGCGAATCACGCCCATGGCCTGCATTCTTTGGAAAGGCCCGGTAGGCCGTGGAAATGTCTTCGGTACTCGGCCTGTGTTTCTTTCAACTAACTTGCGCGTCGCAACTGCCTGGACCCCAAATATGAAATTGACAGTAGAGGGCCTCTTTCAAAAGCCAGGCCCGCCTTCACTTAGGGCGGGTAAGGCTGCAGACAGGGCCCAGTAGGCCTACCGAGGACACGGATCCTCGCATGATCTTGGCCAATTTCGAAGTACACATTCATCGGAAAGTACAATGCCGTCCAATTGCAAAAAGAAATGAATGAACTTGAGAGGAGAGAGAGGGTAAGAAGAAGAAGAAGAAGAAAGAAAGAAGGAGATCATGTACACCAGCATAGACCAATGATAATGCTCTTCTTCTTCGCCATTCACTCTCCTCCTCCTTATCTCTTTCCCTCTTATTCCAAAGAATAATAATAATAACAATGTTGAATGGCTGGTCCAGAATCAATGTCCGAGTCCCTCTTCTACTGTAGGTATCACTCTTAGGGGGGGCCCTCGGTTCGGGATGTCTATGTTGCCTCTGGGTGATGACGGATGCTCATCAGGGTCTCCCTGGCTCAGTGGGTGGTGGGAACTAACGGTCTGCGGGGTTCAATCGTGATGTGAGTAGGTCATGTGCCGCTTTGCTCCATGTTGGATGTGTGGGTGGTCTCGCATGCGCTCCGTCGTTGCCCTGTTGCCTGTCCCGCTTGCTTCGCATGTGGTTCTTTGCAGGTTGATGTGTTCGCTATATAGTGTGGCAGTGTTCTAGGTGTTAAGTTGCACTTCGCTGCTCCGTTGCCTTGCTGCCCTTCTGCTGGTTGTGCCTTCCGTGTTTGCTGCTTGCGAGCCTTGTTGGATGGTTTCCTTGTTGCTGATGCCTCTTGTGCTTCGCTCCATGGTTGTCGAGTTGCTGGTCCGCTCGCCCTGTCGTCCCTTGCAGTGTGGTTGCCTTGTTTGTGTTGTCTTGTGCCTCGCTACACTGTTGCCGCGCTGCATGTCCTACGTGCCATGTCGTTCCATGCAGACGTTTTTGGCGTTGTGCAGCCATGTTGCCTCTACTGTGTTGCCTGGTGCTCCATAGGTTTGCTACCCGCTGCTATGTTCCGCTTAGGGACAATCTGCCTTCAACAAGGGTCAAAGGGTTCATGACCCAAACCATCAAATACGAAGATTCCGCAGATTGTCGAGGGCCTCCTGATAAGTCGGTGCAACTCCGACGGAACAATCTTGTTATCATCAGTTTTTATTTTTTTCAGTTCTTGTCTTTTGATCTATTGTTGTTGCTTTTGCCGACTTGTGTTGTCCATCTCTCTGCTCGCCTCGCCCTTGCCCTCAAGCCTATGTCTATGTCTTCCATGGGTAGTACTTGTTTCTCAGCTCACTGTCTTTGCCTCATCCTATCGTGTTTTTGTGCCCGCCAGCCTCCCCCGTACGTGCCTCATACGTCTCCTCAGTGTGCCTTACCTCCTGTTTGCTGCTCCCTGCCCCCTCCCCATGTTCTAGTCTGTTTGGCTTCAAATTGTAGGGCATTCAGCTTCTCTTTGTTTGCTTGTTTTGGTCATGCCATATGAAGTGGACGATTTATTTCCTGGTATGTTGCTTGATGTGCTTTTTTGGCGCAGCTCGCCATGTCTGTTCACATGGGGGTTTCGTATCAGACTACACACACACACACATACACACACACACCAAAAAAGAAAAATCAGTTTTATGCCTCTGTCCTTCTCTTGTTCTCTGTCCTTCGTCTGATTTTTTCCAAGTATTTTTTGTGTGCCCAACGGAGCATCCTCAAGCAGTGGTGAACAGTGGGTCATTCCTCATTTGGAGTGCCTGCAACACTCTTCGGGGGGGGGAAGGGGCTCAGTTAAGGATGTCTGTGTTTCTTGTGGGTGATGACGGATGTTCGTCTGAGTGACTCCCTGGCTCAACGGGTGGTGGGAATCAGCAGTCTGCGGTGTTCAATCGCGATGTGAGGAGGTGATGTGCCGCTTCGCTCCGTGTTGGATGTGTGGGCTGCCTCGTCTGCGCTCCGCGACTGCTTTGCTGCTTGTCCCGCTTGCTTCACGTGAGGTTCTCTGCATATTGCTGTGTTCGTTGTGTGGTGTGGCCGTGCTGTTGGTGCTGCCTTGTGCTTTGCTGCTCCGCTGCCTTGCCATCCATCCTCTGGCTGTGCCTTCCGTGTCCTTTCCTCGCGCGCCTAGTAGTTTGGTTGCCTTGTTGCCAGTGGTTGGTGCTGCCTTGTGCTTCACTGCACGGTTGCCAGGCTGCTTGTCCGCTCGCCCTGCCGTCCGTTGCAGTGTGGTTGCCTTGCTTGTGTTGCCTTGTGCTTCACTGCACGGGTGTTGTGCTGTTCGTCCGCTTGCCATGCCGTTCCTTGCAGACGTCTTTGGCATTGAGCAGTCGTGTGGCCTCTGCAGTGTTGCCTGGTGCTTCGCTGGGTTGCTGCCGGCTGCTGTGTTCCGTTTTGGGGACAGTTTGCCTTCAACAAGGGTCAAAGGGTTCATGACCCAAAGTTCCCAAACCATCCGATACGAAGATTCCGTAGATTGTCAGGGTTCAGCTTCATAATGAGTCCGTGCAACTCTGACAAAATAATCTTGTTATCATTAGCTTTTATTTTTTTCAGTCTTTGTCTGTTGGTCTGTTATCGTTTCTATTGTTGCCTTGTGCTGTCTGTCTGCCTGCTCACCTCCCCCTTGCCCTCCAGCCCATGTCTTACATTGTTACTTGTTTTTTTTTTATAGCTCATTGCTTTTTTCTTTTGCTGCTTTGTTTGTGTGCCCACCCGCCTCCCCCATGCCCTCCAACTTAAGTGCCTTGTTGTTGGTAATCATTCAGTGCCTCTTCATCCGTCGCCTCACTGTATGCTGCCGCAATTCCTTTCGGTTTGCTGTTTTCTGCCTCCTGTCGCCTTGTCTTCCTGTGTTGCTTACGTGGGTAGCTAGTTGTTTGTCGCCTTGCTTTGTGTAGTGTCTCCGGGTTCTTGTCTAATTGCCTCGCCGCTAGGGCTTTTGCAAGCAATATGAGAGTGAGTGATATACATAAAACCAAGTTGCGAAATCACACAGTTGAGCAAGTAGTAGTATCCCAAGTAGAGAGTACAAATGCACCGAGAAAACCATCCATAAAGAGCAATAGAATGAAGTATTGAGCCACTGTCCAAGCCCGTAGGCCACACCAACAAAGTATCCAAAGTCGCTCTCTCTGTCTGGCGCACAGCGCCCAACCTACTCTACCACGCTATCCTACTCTACAACTGGTTCACACAACATGATCACTTCGGCTCACGAAGACCAATGTACATGACTGTCAACACCATCGGCGACCTCTCCTCATGTACCAGGTACGTATCTCGTCACCCTCAATCAGACCTTGATTACCCCACACAGCGCCTCACTCCCTGAAGACCACCCGATCATCCGTTGTACCCCCTGGCGCCTAGCAGCCCGACTATGGCCGCCTGCGCCCCTCTCACCACCTATCGGCCCTGCTTTGTGTGTATATGCCCAGGCACAACTTTCGTGGCCTGGGCCAACTGTACAACGCAGCTTAGTGAAGCTCGCGCGTTCACTCAACCAACTGACGCGCTGCAAGAGCCTGAATACCCACATATGGAAATGTCGAATTTGGCCTGTGACGAATATTCAGGCCCGCCTTCACTTAGGGCGGGCACTTGGCTTGCTGGGGCCTTAGCCCATAACATTGTGATGTCTGATAGGGCCACTTGAGCTCTCGTTCCTCACATTCCATCCCCCTTAGCTTCGAAAGTCCGCTGAGATGCTTCATGCTGGTGCCTTCCCCTTCAGTTTCTTCTCATAGTCTGTCACGATCTCAAGAGCTGTCTTGACAAGTTCCTACCTTGAAATCCATCGATCTTCCTTCGGAAGATCTGTATGATGCTTGAAATGTACTATGTATTCCCTGGCTGATTTGGGAGGTCTTCTCCTGCCAGGTGGCTTGGGAACATGCGTGTCTCTGTGATCCAGAATGTCGTCGACGTCCACGTGCCCATCCATGGTTGGGGGCAGCATAGATCTTCGTGATGGGAACTGTGTTGTCTCAGCGAAAGGTGCAAGCTTGGACGCGTGGAAAACAGGGTAAGTGCGTAAGTGACCAGGGACACGAATGACGTACGAGGGACCATCCAAATCATTCCCCACAATGTCTAGGACTTCCCAGGGACCGAAATACTGAGGCATTAGTTTCCTAGAGATGCCAAACTCCTGTCCCAACTCACTAGCCTTGACCCAGACACATTCCCCTACCTGAAATGTGGACTGTCGGCGACGCTTGTTCTCAGAAACAATCATGGCTTCCTGAGATTTCTTGATGTGTTCGTCATACTGGACACCAAATTGAATGGTTCCAGGAGTTGCAGCAGTTCGGTTTTTAGGCAGGAGGAAGTCTAGAGCAGATCTAGGCTTCCACCCGAGATGTAGTTGATTAGGACTGACGTCGGTGGTGCTGTGTACAACATTGTTGTACAGGCTGGCGATGAGAGGTAATTTCTCATCCCAATCATCCTGGTTGGGCTTGATGTAATGCCTCAGCAGATGCTGCACCACTCGGATCATTTGTTCAGCCTGCCCATTTGCTTCGGGATGATTCCCGGAAGTCATTTGAAGTTGGTTTCCCATCTGTTCAGCGGCCTTCTTCCACATCTCGCTTGTGAATCTCACATCTCTGTCACTAACGATTGTCTTTGGAAGTCCAAAGTCACGCACCCAGTTGTCCATGAACAACTTGATGACGTGCTCAGTCCTGGCAGTCTCTGGCATAGCGATTAGTCTAGCGTACTTAGTAAAAAAAATGTGCCTCTTGCCATTTTTGCTGGTCACAAGAGTATCCATGAAGTCCATGGAGATACTCTGACCTGGGCCAGCAGGAATGGGTAAAGGCTTGAGTAACCCAAGCGGAGCTTGAGTTCGCGGTTTGTCCCCCTGACAAACCTGACAGGTCTCCACGTACTTCTTCACATCGTCAAGCATGTTAGGCCACCAGAATCGCTGTACTAGATTAGCACTAGTCTTCTTATAACCGAAATGTCCTGTTGCGTCGTGGCACTCACCTAAAAACAAACTACGCAAAGTTTCCCTAGATGGAACAACTAACCTCTTGAACCCTGCCTTCTCAAGAAAGAGCAACCCATCCACCATCACAAACTCATCAGTGGTGGCCTTGTCTTTAGCTTGTAGTTTGTTGATGATGTCCATCATGATGGGATCTTCCCTGTAGGCTTCATCAAACGATCGAGTCACATCCTTCGACAAAACAAACTCAGAAATCAGCGCACCTAGGTAAACTGCCCTCCTAGACAACGCATTTGCAACCTTGTTGTACTCTCCCTTCAAATAGTATAGTTTGAAATCATATTGATCTACGACTTCAATCCAGCGTTTGAGTGCATCGGAGAGAACTGGTTGAGTCTTGATCCACTTGAGTGTCAGATGGTCAGTTCTCAAGTAGAAGAACCTTCCTAACAGGTAGTGCCTCCAGTGAACAAGTGCCTTGTAAAGAGCGTAGAGTTCCCTCTTGTAGGTGGACTTTGCCAACTTCTTTGAAGGCATCTTTTTGCTCATGTACTCGATCGGTCTCAACTTCTTCCCTTCCTGCTGAGCCAGCACTGCGCCAATCCCATATTGGCTTGCGTCAATGGTTACAACGAATGGCCTTTGCGGGTCGGGTACCATAAGAACCTCATGGTGTGTGAGAGCATGCTTCAAACATTTGAATGCTGCCTCACACTCGTCGGTCCAGTCCCATGGTGTGTCAAGTCGAGTTAGATCAGTCAAGGGAGATGTGATCGTGCTATAATTCCTTGCGAAATTGCAGTAATAACCACACATTCCCAAGAATGATCTGACCTCAGTCACAGACTGGGGTCGTGGCCAGTCACGTATGCTAGCCGCCTTAGCATCTTCGGGCCTAATCCCATCCGCGGATACTTCATGACCCAAGTACAAGATTTGAGTGCGACCAAACTCGCATTTCTCTGAGTTTGTCTTAAACTTGTGTTGCCGAAGGAGTGAAAGTACTGTGTCTACATGCTGAGCATGCTCCTCGACAGATCTACTGAAGATAAGTATGTTGTCGAGGTACACGATAAGAAACTTATCCAAGTAGTCATGAAAGATCCTATTCATGGCGTGTTGGAATGTACCCGGCGCATTGCAAAGGCCAAAGGGCATCACCACAAACTCGTACAGACCGTACCTGGTTTGAAATGCGGTTTTGTGTTGGTCCTTTGGTCTAATGGCAATCTGATGGTAGACGGATTTTAAATCTATCTTTGTGTAGTACTTACATCCCTGCACCCTATCCAATAGGTCGTCGATGCGTGGTAGAGGCTCTGCGTTTTTAACGGTGATGGCATTGAGACCTCTATAGTCAATGCACATCCTTAGTGTTCCCCCTTTCTTTGGAACAAACAATACTGGTGAGCCAAAGGGGGAAGTGCTAGGTCGAATCCAACCCTTCTCTGTGAGCTCTTTCAGTTGCCGCCGAAGTTCGTCCAACTCGGCTGGAACCATCCTATAGATTTTACCCTTAGGTGTTTTACTGTCTGGGATAATCTCTATGGCATGGACAATCTCCCTGTCTACGATTCTTGTAGGATCCTCAAACAGATGTGGGTACTTAGCGACAATAGTCTCTATCTCTGGGGGTGTTTTAACGGCCTCCCCTTTTGCAGAGACATAAACTAAGTACATTCCTTCCTATTGGTTCTGTTTATAATAATTATAAAAGGCAGATGCGCATAAGCACCCATAGGAGTCTACTAACCTACTGGCTTTGTACTTGGTCAGTCTCACGGTTCTCCCACTAGGCAACTCGTGCTTCAACACCTTCTTGTCCCRGTCAAACTGGGGCTTGGCAACCTCGAGGTAGTACATGCCCAATAATATGTCAAAGGGCAACTCGTCGCTCGCCAGGAATGATATCTTATGGTTTATCTCTCCTCGTGGGTAGGAGAAGGTGCAGACTACATCTTTAACGTAGTCCTCCACCATCATGCGCTCTTTGTTGGCCAAAGTAGATGCTTCCGGTCTACTAAGGCGCTGCACCCGGTCCTTTAGGCACAGTCTGTCAACATAGTTGCTACTTATGAAGTTTCGTGTGGAGCCAATGTCTACGAAGGCGCCGCACTTGCGACCACCCACATCAACTTCCACAACGAAGTGCTCCCTCTAGGACCTCTACTCAGTGCCACCCAGGACTCACGAGGGTCCCTTGCCGACCACTCACCTTGAAGGTCCTCTAAGGCCTTAGACACATCCAACGTACAGAGTATAGTTGGGTCCGGATGCGTCTGCGGGGTGACTAAGGAGTCAATAGCTTTGGCCATCTCTTGAAACAGGGAGGCTACATCACCCGCTTCAACGAGAGTAGAAGCAGCTATAACTTCTACTAGCCCTAAGTGTTTCCCGAGTTGGAGCTCGTAGAGGCCCCAGATTGAGAAGAAGGAAACCCACCTTTAGGAGGGATCTTCTGCAAGACCTTCAAGTTCTTGCATTTGAACTGTGTGTGATCATACTCACCGCAGTTAATGCAAGCACCACGAGACCAACGATCCCGCCACACTTCTTGATCCAGACCTGCTCTAACCCAAGCAGCTATTTTGTTTGGGTTAGCGGCCTGCCCCTGACTCCTTTGTTGAGCGCCCTTGCCGCGGCCAGCTGCCTTAGTCTTGACTACAGCGGCGCGGTTGCTACCCTCAAAACTCTCCTCGCCGTCAAACTCTGAACTCTCCACAAGGTCGGAAACATCATCGATCTCGGTTTGATTCCCATCGGAATCAACCATCATCAATCAACTACCCTTCTTCTTCCACTCTTGTGCAGTCTTCTTCTTTCTCCCATCCGTAGAAGGGGTTTTAGTTCCACCCAGCGTAGCCTCTAAGTCTAGGACCTTCTTGCTGAATGACTCAAAAGTGTAATACTCTCTGCGAGCCTCGCTGGCTAATAAATTCCTAATGTCTGTGGGAAGACATCTCAGGAACATGGTCAGCAAGACCTGTGGATTGTACTCCACTCCCGGGACGACGATCAGGCGCTCTACGACTGTGGTGAGTTCCCGCACAGACTTGTACTTTCTAGTATCAAATTTCAAGAACCCATCAGTGGCAATTTGTGCCTGCTGAGGGTTGTGCCAACAAGCCTCCACTAAGTCCATAAAGCTTTCTAATGTGTGGGTCTGCGCCCAATCATGCATGTTCCTGCCGAAGCCCTTTGAAGCTACCAATTCGTTTAGCCAACGGGCTGTTGAACCCTCTAAGTAGGATGCAACAGTAATCACCTCCTCTTCTACCAATGTCCTCTTTGCCCTTACCCACACTGGCACCGTTCTCAACCATGTGTCGAGAGCCTCATCCTTCTTATCTCCTGAGAAGGTTGCAGGTGGGTTCAGTGGGGTCTTGGGGTGCCAAGGATATTGTTGTCCCTGTTGTGAGACAGGTGGCGACTGTGGTGTAGCAACAGTCGCTGGACCAGAAGATGAAGAAGCAACAGTTTGAGATAGAGCTACTGTTGATGATACACTTGGTGGTGGTCCTGATTGAGCTGCATAGAGGCCTGTCATCGCTGAGAGTGGCAGTGATGGTAAAGCTGCTGGCCAGATCCCTGGCTTATGCAGCGCTTGCAGAATCTGGTCTAGAGTATCCTGCATTGCGTCCATTTTACTGTCTATGTACGCATGCATGGATAGGACACTTGCCTTCAGGATCTTTCCTGTAGTGTTAAGTGCAGAGTCCTCTAATGCCTCTAGCGCAGCCATGTCTGCCTCCCTGCCCTCTAATCTGACACTTCTTTCTTTGATCTCTTTCTCTCTTTTAGTAGCCTGTCTAAGTTCCTCCTCTAACCTTAAGCGGATCCTCTCTACTTGTTGGAGCTCCATCTGCTCCCGGGTGCTAGAGGCGGCGAGCTGAACTCCGAGCCCGCCATTTGACTAGTGCCAAACCTTGACGTACTGGAGATTGACTGTGAACTGGTCGGCATGCCTTTCCCTTGACCCGTTGAGTTCACAGCAGATGCTGCGGAAGTAGCCATTGCTACAGATCTAGTCGTTGCTGCTTCTCTTGCAGCCTCAAGATTACGGGCCCTAACTTCAGCCCTTAACCTTCTCTCTTCTCCCGGTTGTAAGGTCTGGAACACTCTAGGAATTCTAAGGGATGATAGTCTTGTTAACCTCCTATCGTTATCTGCACCCTCACCACCCTCTGATCCACTCATAGGTTAGGCAGACGTTGTCTGCACTAATGTCCTCGCTGGAACCTACCGCAGCATACGTCTAACCGGATCTAAAAATAAACAAATAAATGAATGTCTGGCGATTTACCTAGCCTACTAGTCAAGCGGCATCAACAACATCTACACAAACTGTAGACATTGTCTAACTCTTATTCTGATTAGTTTGCACATAAGATTTGAGAAGAACTGACTATGGTAGATTACAGTCCTACTCTAGTCTGTCTGTTAGGTGTCAGTAGTCAGTCAACCAACTAATCAAAAATAAAACTTGGACTAGTGTGAACAGATGTATGCACAATGGATATGTCAGTGATGTACAGTTGAGTTCACAATTGGAATCCCCTTCCCCTGTATCCGTACCTGTGAGCATCACCAAGCTGCGGTGTCTAAGGTGTGCAACCACAACCCACCCCTGTGCCTAAGAAGTATGCTTATGACCAGCCTGCCCCTTTGTTTACCCTCGCGTGCAACGAGCCTTATGTCTGACTCTGGCTGATTAGGAGGGATTCAAGGAGAGCCCCCATCTCCTCAGGAATTATTTAACGTCGCAAACAGGACGACAATCACAGCCAGTGGAAGTTCAGACCCCGACCAGAAATGTTTATAAACGGTCTTGGAGCGTCTCAATAGGACTGGTCAGTCCGCACACCCCTTTTATCAGCGCAGCAAAGAGCCTCAATGGACAAAGCAGCATGGCCTGCGGGTACTAATACCCATGGGTTGGCATGGTGACCGTGACCCGTGCTTCGACCAGGGCCCTTCAGAGGCACCGCCCTCTCCTGCTAGATGCGCCACCGGGAAGAATGTTGTCTCTCAAGATAGAGCGCACACGACTCCTCACCAAAGAAAGGACACTCAAGTTGGACTCACTTCCCCACGGTAAGAAGAGATTGAGAGGGTAGATAAGGAATGGGAACAACGTACCTGGAGATAGCTGCCCCCAACCACAGATTTCTCACCAATTGGGCTGATGTGCATTTCGATGACCGCTTGTCTATGGGAGGTATCATGTATTTAGCTCATCTTGCACCTTTTCTCATTGTTTTCGCATTAACTGGGTTAGAGTTAGGTGTTGCTGTATTACAAGCTTATGTTTTTACTATTCTAATATGTATTTACCTAAATGACGCTTTAAATCTTCATTAACCACTTCGAACCCCCGATATTTTGTAATATGTCAGTTTTCAAGACTGATACCTTCAACCACTCAGACATCAATCCAAAGCAAAGACGCCCCTTGTACCTTTCTTTCCACTCCATCAAACACATCGCCAGTGAAGATAAGATCCGGGCCGTTTTTTTTCCCATCTTCTTCACTACGAGTATTTTCAACGACGTCGAATAAGTCGTGTTCGTCTCGTTGTTAAACAGAATTATCGTACTTTTGTAGTGATTTCATAATTGAACAAGTTCGAGTCTATTATGTTCGATATGAGAAAGATTGGATTCTCGGTGTGAATGGACCTTATTGTTTGGCCAAACAGATTTGTAACTTGGTACTTGATATTTGTATTAATTTGAGAATATCCTCGAAGATAGAGCACACAGATTTGATTGATCATTCACACGGCGTCCATCCAGGTCGCAGTTGCCAAGGCATTTGTCCTGACAAGAAAGACATATCCATAACAGGTCCAATAATTTGAGTAATCTTTCCTATCTTTTTCTCCGCAACTAGAGAATTGTTAAAATCTAAATTTACAGTACTATTTTCCTGTTTTTTACTTTAGCCAATATTAGTCTGCCAGGCACTAGTAGCTTTATTGGTGAGTTTTTTATTTTAGTAGGCCCTTTTCAAGTTGCGCTCAACGTGGCAACATTAGCAGCCATTGGAATGATTTTAGGAGCAGCTTATAGCCTCGGTACCACCCACAACGCAATGTAGTGCCACCTCAGCCAAAATGCCAATTCAGCATACTCTCATCATCATCCATACACCCGTTGTCGCCATAGCCTTCCAGCGGCCGGCCTCTCTACCTAGGCCCCGCTATTAAACCAGCGCAAAGTATCCTCACTGCGCATGAAGCATCGTCAGCGCACCAAGTCACAATGTCGCCGGTGCCAGGTAAGCCGCGATCATCACCACCTCTGATACCAAATTGCAAGGAAAATGAGAGTGAGCGATATACATAAAACCAAGTTGCGAAATCACACAGCTGAGCAAGTAGTAGTATCCCAAATAAAGAGTACAAATGCACCGAGAAACCATCCATAAAGAGCAATACAATGAAGTATTGAGCCAATGTCCAAGCCCGTAGGCCACACCAACACAGTATCCAGAGTCGCTCTCTCTGTCTGGCGCACAGCGCCCAGCCTACTCTACCACACTATCCTACTCTACAGCTGGTTCACACAACAGGATCACTTCGGCTCACGAAGACCAATGTACATGACTGTCAACACCATCGGCGACCTCTCCTCATGTACGAGGTACGTGTCTCGTCACCCTCAATCAGACCTTGATTACCCCACACAGCACCTCACTCCTTGAAGTCCACCCGATCATCCGCTGTACCCCCTGGCGCCTAGCAGCCCGGCTTTGGCCGCCTGCGCCCCGCTTAGCGCAGCATCAAGCAGAAGCGCAGCATCAAGCAGAAGCGCAGCAGCACTTCCGCATTGCCAGCGCTGGACAGTGTGTCTGGCCTGGGCTGCCTCACTTCCTTTATGGAAGTGTCAGCCTCTTGGATGCCACGTGTGGCCTGGCTGGAAGCTTATAGAAGCTTCCGGTTGGGCCCCAGTGCCCAGGCCCGAGACTTACAGTTGAGGGCCTGGGCCCTTTTAAGTTGGGCACGGCCTGGCTGTTGGCTGTATCTGCGCAGGGCCCCCTGATAGATGCGCCCGCAGTATTGCTTTTCCCAAAGGCGACGGCCTGCTTCTCAATGTATCGGCCCTGCTTTGTGTATATGCCCAGGCACAACTTTCGTGGCCTGGCCAACTGTACGACGCAGCTTAGTGAGGCTCGCGCGTTCACTCAACCAACTGACGCGCTGCAAGAGCCTGAATACCCACATATGGAAATGTCGAATTTGGCCTGTGACGAATATTCGGGCCCGCCTTCACTTAGGGCGGGCACTTGGCTTGCTGGGGCCTTAGCCCAGAACAATGTGATGTCTGATAGGGCCACTTGAGGGCTCGTTCCTCACACTTTTAGCTTCTGCTTGTTTGCTTTGTTTTGGTCATGCCATATGAAGTGGACTATTTATTTTCTTGGTATGTATCTTATCTGCTTGACTGTTCTCGTGGGGGTTTTGTCTCTCATTAAACACACACACACACACACACACACACACACACACACACACACACACACACACACACACACACACACACACACACACACACACACACNCACACACACACACACACACACACACACACACACACACACACACACACACACACACACACACACACACACACACACACACACACGCGCGCGCACACGCGCAGTGCATTAATGGGGAATCATCGACCGCAAAGCACAGTATCCAGTTCAGTTTGGATCCTGCAGAATACTTTTCTCCTGCTCGCCCCTTCTCCACTGACTAACTGTCCCTGACTGCTCCAACTCTCTTTGTGCAGTGGTACAAATAACCTACCTCGTGTTATCTTGCGATTTCATTGCCCGCTCGTTTGAATCGCTGAGTTTCTGAAACATTCTATGGTTATTCTGACGACTGCAAAGAAGAATGACAGAAGTACTTCGGGTTTCATGGACATGTCTGAGTGGGTGCAGGTGATGAGAACCCCAGCAGTTGTCATCTTCTTGTAGAAGTTGTCGAGTCTCTTGGGTGCATTTTTGAGACTCTGCACTCAGTGTTTCAGTGTGTACATCATCTTCAGGACCTCAGCTGCAAAGATCGTTGCTACAGTGCCATCCTGGTTGACATGGGCGACCCAAGACCACCAGAAATGTACCGAGAGCTGGAGGGAATCCAGGACTTCTTCACTCAGCAACGAAGAGTGAAGAGTCTGAAGACATTCATTCTTATAGTTGGCGCTTTGGCAGAGTTTGCGGTGAAAGTGTGGTGTGCGGCACGAGGTTTTGATGGAGTGGTGGCCAAGCCAGTGTGTAGACTAACAGCTGGGAAAGACACTGTGTAATTTGCTGCGACTACGATCATGACATATGGATTCTGGATTAAACATGATGATGTCCACACTCATCTTGATGAAAATGGAGCAATCTCACATGTTTCACCCAGTTCCCACTGGTCAAGGCCTTTTGGGAATGGTGGGCAGCAGAATGGCCGACAATTTCCGTTGGCGGTGACAGCAGAAAATGGCACTCACATACTGCTGGGCTCACTGATGAAGGTGCCCAGAAAGGACAATCAGATGTTTGTTGCTGCAGCGGTGGTTGGTGCTGCAGTCCTGTACGCTATACTATGGACCCTACAGAATGAGCAGATACGTCAGGGCAAGGTGTACACCATGCAGGTGTCGAGGGAACAGGCGATGGAGAACAACCGGCTTCCCATCCAGGTGGACTTCTCATAGAATGCGGAATGCAGCGGGGGATGATATCAAATTATGGAGGATCTGGGGAATATTTTCCGCAACAGTTAGGAGGGAGGAGCAGTTTGGCACCCTTATGTTTGGGGTGCTAATGCAACAGTATGCCGAATTACAGGGAGGAATGAGACCCCTTATTCACTGTTAGGGTCTGATCTGACTAGTAGGCGTAGTGAGGTTGCTTTGGGTGATTCGCGGGGATCCCACACGGTTCCACAGTTGACGACAGGAAAAAAAACTCGGCTGTTTCTTCTCTTTGCCGCTTGCGTGTCCGCACCGCCGCGTGTGCAGCCGCTTCCACCAACCGGTTCTGCAAAAGCCGCCCAACCCCTACCCCTCGGTCAGAAAGTCGGTCATTTTGAAATCCTTTTTTTTTTTTTTTTTCCCGGGCAGTCCGCCATTGGTTCTTGGCGTTGTGGTGCAGCCCGTTTCAGCGCACGTGTGGGAAAAGTTCCCCAAAGAAGGAATTGTTACAAACGATATTCCAGACTGCTTGGTGATAATGAATGCAAATCAGAATTCCATGGCCATACTTGAAGCTAGTCAATTACATATACCGATTGTGTGTTTGATAGGTTGAGATATTCCAAGCAAATAACATCGGGCCTGTGGGTTCCAAATTTTCTATTACATCCTGTTCGTCGCTTAACCTTGTAACAAGGGCCTTTCCGGTTTTTTGTTTACAGGCGCACTGTTGAATCATACCCTTAAAATGTTTAACCAGCAGTACTTCCTAAAGTTGTGCCTGTATACAAGCCACGATTTTAGGAAACATACGGGCCACTAGAGGAGCACCCAAATTCATCCCACTAGAAACGTTTCTACTCCATTTTTTTTCCCGCAGCCTATAGCTGCGCCAAGTACTGGTGGTCCGTGTCTAGTAGCCGTGTTTGCTAGGATATAGATGTCTTTTGTCTCAAGTTTCGCTTCTGGTTTTCTTGGTTGAACTTTGGGGGGGTGGGGGGGGGGAGAGGCGTGGACTTCGTTTTTTTCTTTTTGAAAAATCCTTCCCCCCCTTCTAGGGTAGTGACGAGCTCAGTTGGTAAGGCAGGAGGTTGTGGGTTCAATCCCCATTGGCCTCGTGTACCTTCCTGGGGCATGCTTTGACGCCCGCCACCTAAAGATAGACCACTGGATCCCCCGATCGGCATTGAGCAAGCAGAGTCTGCTGATGTTCGTAGGGGAGGGGACCTGTCAGTGAGGGGAGGTGCAGGGATTGGGCCCATTCGCATGGTCCCTGATGTTACCAGCTGTCCCCTGGCCGGTATCGCCCACCTGCAGGTCAGGAGCAGCCCCCACATGTTCTCTCGTGAACACGGTTCTGGCTGCTACAAGGTTTCCCGTAGGACTATAATTAGGAGTAGTGGTGGGTAGGTAGTGTGAGGTGAAATTGAGAGAAGAATGTAGCTTGCTTCGATGAACAAAA